GAATACTACCAGTATAATGTCTATCAAATTTATCATCTTCCATGACTTTATCTTGATAATTTCGATTTGAATTTGTATGAAATTCTGTTGGAATTAATTCAAATATTATATCAATTCTCCATCTTTTATTCAGTAAAATATCCGGATAGTGGGTCCTCTCTAGAAAAGTTTCTGGCGTCTCTGGTTGAAGAATATTATTTGTGACTCGTTTATTAATAATAACAGAGAGAATTGCAGGTTTTCAAGACATATAGCTGGCATAGTGAACAGTTTCCGTGCATTTATTAGGTTGTTTCGGTTTGCTGATTTTTTCTTCATAAGCAGCAAAATATAATTTAACAATAGTGCTGCAAGATTTTTAACCGTATTTTGTGTCTAGAATTTCGGTACGTTTGTGAGGGCTGAGCCATCTCTAATCGAGACTCCCTAGGGAATTTATGAGTATGATCAGTGTCTGTCGAGAAAGCCGTCATTAGAGTTCTTTGAAAAATTCAAATTTATATTTGAGGAAACTATTCGAAATTTTTTCGACAACTGAAAAGTTTTGAAGAAATTTTGTTTTTGAGCATGAAGCAGTCTTACAATAATCTCTTTAAAAACTTTGTTAGAAGTTCTGTAGTCTACCTCGGATTTTATGTGAGCAGGATCAGCTAAGTTGACTAGACTTTATTGGGAATAAGATATCGTGTTTATATATTTTCAAAAAATTGTTTTAGTACATAAAAAAAAATTAGTAAATGATATATTGATTTTTTTATTTAAAATCAAATAATAATTTCCTAGTTTGACCTATTGTTGATATGAGAATCAGTTTATTTCATTAGAATTGATAATACAGAGTGAGCTATAAATATATTTACAATAAAGAATGTTTAGAGCTCGAACAAATCAGCTGATTTTTTTTATCAACATATTTAAAGACTTAATCGCAACAAAAAAAATTTATTTTTTCCCTTATAGGCGAAAAAGACAGTTTTTCTAGGTATGTTTTTATTAATTGTAAAAAATCAGCTCGTTTGCTCGATACATAGTCGAGATGTTTAATGTTATTTATGGCAAAGTGACCTTTGTGGTACCCTGTATTTGAACAAAATTCAGACAAAGATATATATATCAACGTTCGACTCGAGTCAAGTTAAGCATGTATCTTTCAGAAATAAAAATCAGGTTAATTTTTTTTCATAAGTTCTGTCATTATTTTCCATTCATAGTGAGTATAGAATATATCACAAGAGAGAAAGCGACTCCTACAGTGCGTACTCGGATTTTTTTTGAAGTATAGAGAGTCTCAATTTTCCCTCTCCAATAAAACATAACTTATCAAAATAGAATACACATTAATGTAAATTCTAAAAGATATACATAGGAGAGCTTTGTTTGTATTAATCAGGGAAAATTGCCATTGGGTTGGCTCATGTTACTAAAACAATTGACCCATATCGGACGTAGATATATCCCCTGGCAAAAAATAGTTAGACTCTGTATTTCGAATATATTTCCACTATCAGAGCACGCTTTTTTTAAGAGCAAATTACATATTCTGAAATCCCGTAGAGTTTTCTGAATTGCTAGATTTATATTATAAAAGATGCTTAAGAAAATTAATGATGAAAAATTATCTATACGTGTTTTTTTTTCAACTAAAATTTTAATTGGAATTAACATTGACTTTTGCTTTCGAAATTTTTGACAACCAATCTATTCATGGTTGGACATAATTTGTAATGTTTCTTGATAATACAATAAATGCATGATTTCTTAATGATTTAAGTGATGAAAATTTACATTTATGACTTAACATTTATTTTAAAGTCTCTTCTCTATATTCAAATTCATAATCTAAATTACTAAGTAATTTCCAAACAATATCTAATGGTGTATGACCATTTAAATCTAACTGATCTTCTTCAACTTGTCCTTCTTCTAATAAAAGAGAAATAATATAAAAAGAAAACATTTTAATTGGAAAAAGAAAAAAAAGAAGTTGTTAATCAAACCTCAGTTGAACATTTTCCAGCAGCAACATGTAATGCTGTTCGTTTTGTATACGTTTCTTCTATTTTCATATTAAATAATTGTTTATAATTAAGAATAAATTTAACTAATTGAATAAAATCTTGTTTAATAGCAATATGAAGTGGATAATGAAACATTCCCATATCGTGTGCAACACGTGAATACATTTCACGCATTTTTATTTTATGTTCATGTTCATTTGGTAATGAACTAAAATAATTATCTGTTGCACTTGGTTTATTTGTTTGATTTGGATTTAAATTCACTAAAGAAAATGTTCATGAAGGTGATGAACAGCATAAGAGAAAGAATAGGTGTGTTGGGAAAATGTCGAAATGTAGATATGGAAGTAGAAGGATATCCTAACAGAAAAATATCAAAAAAGATTTTGTCTCCAATAAACTGTGACTCTAACTGCGTCTAGCTCATTATTGTTTTTCTCATAATTCTAATGGCATAGAAATTTAATCAATCGTGATTTTGACGATTCATACCTGATAAAAATTAAATATGAGTTAAGTGAAGAACTATTACAGTAACTAAAATTCTATTATCACGACTGAAATTGCTATATCTTAAAG